AAAAAAAAAAAAAAAAAAAAAAAAAAAAAAAGGAAAAAGTCTGTATACATATATTTATCATTCCAGTTTGCTCTATACTCAAAATTTTGCTAAACTACAGTAACTGTACACACAGCTGCCAGTTTAACTACATCCAGCAACATAAATCCAGTCTAATGAGTCCTACAATATATTGTACATTAATGAAAGTTATTATGTTTATTTCTGTTGTTGTTCTTTTAATTCTATTGTGCTGAATATATCTATCTAATCTATCTATCTATACCTTTAAAAATTACTCACTGGCAGCCACTTTTTTCTATTGAAGGCCGAGGCTGCCATCTGCTGGAAACAAGATGCAACTGCAGTACAAATGTCAATAATCACTGAGAAGTTGAGAGAAAAATGTTTCCAGTTAGTTATCAACCACCTGAAACTTTTTTTCAGGTCAAAAGATGAAACACTAGAAACAGATGAATTCAAGGATTTCTTCCTGAGATCTCTGGGTATGTCCTTTTGCCTCATCTTCATCACCTCATCTTGTATCTGAAATATTTGAGACCTTTCAGTAGAAAGTGTGTACTTCTTACACACCTGACTTTGCATTTTTACTGTCTTTTTACTGTATAGTATATACACTAAAAAGAGTATTATGTGTTGTGGTGGATAAGCTATTAATATTTTGCAGAAAATGCACAAGCCTCTTTTCCCTCTCTGCTGTACAGTAAAATAAAATAAAATATCCATGCACTTTAGATTCTATGGCTTGTTCTTTAATTTAATATAATCAAGCAGATGATTTCCTTTATTAGAATAACTACTATGTATTTGTCTCTCTTATATCAGCTGGGAACATTGTTCTGCCTGGGAACGTCGTTTCCTTGAGTTATTTTGGCCGCTCTTGCAGCCTTCGGGTTGAAACCATAAAAGGGGAGGACGGCGTCACCCTCCAGAGACCAGCTCCTCTCCTGGGAGCGAGTCCTGAAACTGAAGAGTCCTCTGTGATGAATTCTGTGCTGGACTCCACATCAGCTGAACTCTCCCTGCAGCTCAGCATGCTGTCTGTTGATGACAACAACGATGCAACAACAGACACACCTAGAGAGCTCGGTCCTGCAGCCAGCACTCCATGCCGACAAGCCCAGCCTCTTTCCCTTTCCTCGCAGCCTGTAGCTCCTTCCCACGACTCCCTGAATCCTTCAGCAGGTTCAGTAGACACTGCTGTGAGTCCAGAGAGCTCACTCATCTTAGAGCAGACAGAGAAAAGCTCATCAGCACCTCCTGCTGGTGCTTTGAGTACTGACACCTTCTACTGCCTGTCATGCTCCACTAAAGTTAGACTTAAAAGCAGAGTAGGCCAAACAGATCCAGATGCAGAAGCTAAGGGGTCAAAGGTCACGTATAGCATGATTGGTGGACTCAGTAGTCAGTTGGATGTCATCAAAGAGACCATCGAACTTCCACTGAAACATCCTGAGCTGTTTTCCAACTATGGTACGTTAGATTATACCATGCTGTAAACTAACCCCCAGTGATGTCATTATGATGTGAGGTGTTACAGTTAGATTTACTGACTCTCATTAAATGTCAGATCTCTAATTTTAAGCGGTTGTCTACCACAGGAATCCCACCTCCAAGAGGAGTTCTTCTGTATGGTCCCCCGGGGACAGGAAAAACTATGATTGGACGAGCCATAGCCAGTGAAGTTGGAGCCCACATGACGGTGATAAATGGCCCAGAAATCATGAGCAAGTATGGTCATATAGCCTGAAAACTTTATGGCACCATATTTCTATCCCAGCAGATTATTTTGGGGAAAATTTACTTTGTTTCCATGACAGCAAGATTTTACTCACCACCTTACACATGATCCAAAGCCACAGATTAAATGAGGAAAGTTTATTCACTGAATTAAAGAAGCGTGTTGTCTCATTTCTTTGCAGATTTTACGGTGAAACAGAAGCAAGACTGAGACAAATATTCACAGAAGCGTCTCAGAGGTAAGTTTTCACTGAGCTGCCTATACTCATAAAGATAGTATGTCACTTTTAGTTCTGTGGATGCAAATCTCTAAATTCTCTTTTTTATGTTAAATTACATTATTATATTCATAAACGTGCAGAGGTCTCTCACAGTTGATGTGGAACTATCATATTTATCGTTCATACTGGGACATAGGTTAAAGATGAAAAGCAAAATCCAGCAAAGACCTCACAAAGGGCATCTAATCCTTCATTTGATCCACCTTCTAGTCCGCGAGGCTTCATCAGAAATGGTCTCAGTGGGAAGATGTCGCCATCTTCCTGTCTGTTTTAAAAAGAGGAAGGGAAACATGAAATGAAGACCGAAGCGTGCCTAACTGCACAAGATTGGCACCAGGTCTTATGGAGTGATAAATCCAAATTTCACAGTTTTGGTTCAAGTCATTGTCGGTGTGTAGAGACGAGGTTAGGAGACAAGTGTGGTCATGTGTAAAACGTGGTGCAGATTCTGTCATGGTTCAGAGCTGCAGTTCAGCCAGTGATGTTGGAGATCCTGTCAAAATTGATGGAATTATGAAAACAGAAAAGTACTGTCAGATTTTGAGCCACTGTACAACACCATCTGAGAAGCTTCTGATTAGCATTAGCTTCATTTTTGAATACGACAGTGATCCCAAACACACTGCCTATGCTGTAAAAACTTACCTGGATAGAAAAAAAACAGTGGAACAGTCATGGACTGGCCTCCCCAGAGCCTGCACCTAAATATTACTGAAGCAGTGTGGGATCACCTTGATACCGATTGGATGAAAAAGGAAGCGACATCCAAAGAAGAGCTTTGAAGTTTCTTCAGGTAGCCTGCAGAACCATTTCTAACGACACATTAAAGAAAATACGAGAAAGCTTGACCATGATGAAGAATAAAGATGGACACATCAAATACTGACTTCTATGTCAAAAAATTGCCTAAAGAGTCAATACTTTGCCCTCTGTGCAGTATTTCCATTTACGTTTTCACATGTTTCAATAAATCAATGTGTTTCTCACATTTGACTTGGTTTGATAGGCAGCCTGCAATCATCTTCATTGACGAGCTGGATGCTTTGTGCCCAAAGCGAGAGGGAGCTCAGAATGAGGTGGAGAAACGAGTTGTTGCCTCTCTTCTGACTCTGATGGATGGGATTGGTTCAGTAAGTATCCGAGTAATTGTACTCTACTACGGCAATAATGCTTTCCGCATTAAACTAAAGGCAGCTCTTTTGAGCATAACCTTATATGCTGTTAAGGTTTTTTTTTAAGTTTGAGGTTTTTGGAACCTCACTGAGTCATCTTCTCTGAATTTTGCCAGCCTGCAGCACATAAAGGATGCTCACATTTCTTCTCTTTATACATGAATACAACAGTCTGTTTTGCATTAGCATGATTATTGCTAGAAGGCTGGGATTAAACTGAGCAGTAACTGCTTGTTCAGTAGACACATGTCTTTATACTTTGTCTTTCCGCAGCCAAACGTGGCTCCATCCTAATATGCCCTCATTGCAAATACAGATTGTCATGCAGAAACCATCTCTGCGTGCTGGACGCCCTTCAGACACTATGGGTTGCATCTCTCGGGTGCCATTTGTCCTCTGAGCTCTGTGTTAGTGCCTGATGAGAAAAAGGATGATTCCCCCACACACCCCCAGTGGGAGTCTGGGAAAGAAATCACCCAAGGCTGCCATGAGCTGACAATTTGCCGTAACTTTATCAGCAAACTAAATCTTCCCGTCCCCAGGCAGAGAAGGCCGCGGTGTGGATTGGTGATACTGCACAGATACACCAACTCCCTCCTTGCTCCCAGCTCCTGTCTGTTTTCCAAACCAAGGTCATCATTGCTGATTGGTTTGTGGAATGTGGAGAAAGCACTTCCTGCTCCACGGCATTCTTCCTTGCACTGTAATTTATTTGTGTTTCAACTCTGTCTTCAGTGTTAAAAGGTGGAAAAAGTTTTTCCCATCTTGCAGGCAAACCACCCCAGGAAACGCAGAAGTGAGCCAGGTTTAGCATCAGGCTGGGGTCAGAAAATCTCTCAAGCTTTGAAAAATGTCCTCGACATATGAAATACTAAAAGCCAGCGGGCTGAGTTTGACAAGTGGGCTTAAACTCGAACTAATGACCACTAAATTTGACCTAATCTAAGAGTGTGGGTGCCACAAGCTGCCGTGCACCTGGGCAGATTAAACAACGAAACTTTGCTGCATGATTGAAAACTACCCCTTTGTGTGAATGTATTTAACAGAAACATTTTATTTGCATTATTTATATTCTATGCGCTATACTTTTAAATTGTGAGTCTCCTACAGTTGCTCTGTATGATTCGAGGCTTTTTAAAAAACTTTTTTTTCTTATTCTGTACCTTGTTGTGGCCCCAGAGTTCATCCACTGTATGAAAGGGATCAGTTTTAGCTTCCTTCTTGCTCCTTTTAAGGTAACTTTCTTCTGTTTGAGTGCATCAACGGGAGATTTGAACAACAGGTGGGTGGAGTCTCTGTGCTCACAGCTAGAGCTGGTTGCCTGAGATATCTCAACAGGTTTATGTGATCTGATTTACTGTTAGTGTGGGTGCCATCATGGCCTGGTCTCAATAATGAAAGATATTGGATCTCAGTAGTAAATAAACAAAATACTCTGAGGCATTTAGATCACTCTGGCCTTTTTGGTTTATAATGGTTATTTTTACATAGGCTGACTTTATGATTTGAAACTTTAGTCATGTTTGGTGTGAACATTCAGAATTGTAATAGTTTGTATACGACATAAAATGAGAAATGCAAAAGGGCTACTTTAAATTGTCATCTTTTCTCATACAGAATATAAAAAAACACACAAAAAATTGATTGTCAAACACATCACAGTGTTAATTAACCAGATCACTTGAATATACAACAGAATATACATACCAACTGTGTGATTCAAGCTTTAAATGACTTTTAGTTCATCAATTAACATTTGCTGAGCAGGTCTTACTATGAAATGACTATGTTGTTATCTCAGAATTAGCTGATCCAACTTTCTTCTCTTTCTAGGAGGGTCACTCAGGTCAGCTGCTGGTCCTTGGGGCCACAAACCGACCCCAAGCCATTGATCCTGCCCTGCGCAGGCCAGGACGCTTTGACAAAGAGCTGGAGGTACATACTATCAGAGAGACTGCAGTGTGTTTCCAATCAACGTCACGCTGTTTGTGAAGAATCGCTATTTAATTGCGCAACTTTCTTCTGAGGCTCTGAGTATGTGGACAGAGTACAAAAAATGTGGTATACAAATCGCTGTTCTGTGTTGATTTCGTGACGGCAGGTCGGAGTTCCTGGTGCTGCAGAGCGGACAGATATTTTGCAGAAGCAGCTGAAATGCGTGCCGTGCAGCGCCACCGAGGAGGAGCTGACGCAGCTGGCGGACGCCGCTCACGGTTACGTAGGAGCAGATCTCGCAGCTGTTGGCAAAGAAGCGGGCAAGTAAACACTGCCTTGCTCTCTTTTAGAGAGTTGAAATGTTTGTTTCCAAGGTTTAAGAATCTAATAGCACGCAAAAACATTTTGGATTATTTGTGTTGCTACGCCTTTATTTACATATCTTTACTGATATCTGTCAGGCCAAAAAAAAGCTGGATATTTTCAAGCGTTAGATCTGGTTTGAAATATCATTCCCAGATTTGTAGCTGTAGCTTTTGATAGTCATGTAAACTGTTGCTCATAATGTCACGGAAACCAAGGACATCTATGGCCACTCAAAGCAGCTGTTAAGAAACACCAGTGCTTCTCTTTGCATTGATTTCCTCTTTGCACTTCATGAAAACAACATAATTTAGGAAAACAAAACACAGTTGCATATGGCAACCGGCCCAGAATTGCTCTCCATCTTTTTGTTGTTTAGTTTGCCCCGTGGGCTGAAGTATCCGACCAACAAACAATAGTGATTGACAGTTTGTTATTGAGCTCTAGGTGCATTCTAGGCCTCATGTTGTTTTTCCCTCTCTCGCTTGACCTCTGTTTTCCTTGTAAAATGTCGCCCAGACCACAATAACTTGTGAATTATTCCCATCTAAATTATTTTTACCAATTTTTGAGACATTTTCTTGGAGTGCCTGCCATGCCCACAGCTCCTTTGAACACACAGGTCAAGCATCCTTTGATATTTGCCAGAGAGGAAGTTGGGAGTTTCAGCGGTTTCTCTCACTGGGATCCGAATACCACAAAAACCACCACTTGTTGTGAAATTCCTGTGCCCCCTCACCCCTAGCACCACAAACCATCCCACCTCATATCCCTGAGGACAAACACACTGGCTTATATACGTGTGTATCTGCCCTGCATGTCCTTGATTGTGGGGGTATATGTGATTGTTTGAGCACATGCTTATTTGTTTTTCTGTGGAAGTGTGTGTATGTGACCCCATATGCCTCCTGGGTGGTCCCACCGCCCGGAGTATGTGGCGTATTGCCTTTCCAGCTACGGAGGGAGTTGGGCTGCTGTGTGGAAGCATTCCGGCAATGAGCGTAATTTACTGTCCGCAGAGGGCCAGACGTGACTGGCAGCGTTTTCTGAGAAACCCCCACACGCCCCCGAGGGAGACAACAACCTCCCCAACCCCGCTCGACACCGCTAGTTTCCCCAAAATCTCCAAACCAAAATCACAAGACCGATAAAAGCCCTTGCAACAAAAAAGCCACAGGAGAACTCTTAATGCACTCATGACTTCTTTCTTTCATTTTACCGCTTGAGATAAAATATAAATTCAGTTACAGATGCTTGGTCGGAGTACGAGGCATCTATAGCTAAAGCGCTCTCAGACATTCACCGGAAATGTGGGGCTGGGTCTAAAGTTCAAACTGATAAATATCAGTCCAGATTTAACACCATCATAGATTTATCTCATTCATGCCATCTTTTAAATGGCTGTCAATGCAGCAAAGAGGAGCATGGCATGACTCCAGCATGTGATGTGGTCACAGTGGTCCTTTCCCATTTTGTGTGATAACTCCAATATAATTTCCCATGATACACCTTTCTGTTAGGGGAGGATTTTACTGTATAACACGTTTTCCGGGATTGTAATGCAACTGTAACTGAAAGGAAGTAGTGTCAGTTTATCTGGTAAAATCCAAAGTGCTCTATGGTGCACTAAAAAACAATCACCTTACTGTAGTCATGAAAAAGAGCAAGAACCTTACCCGATTTAAGTTTGGCTAATCTCTCCTTTAGGGTTGCCACAAACGATTATTTTGATAGTCGACAAGTTACCGATTATTTTTGCGATTAGTCGACTAATCAGATCATGTGTCCATTGGATGTAAAACCTACAGCTTATTGCACCAGCATGCATCTGCTCTTATATAACTATCATTAGCTTACAGCTTTAAGTGTTTAAGGTATGTGCTAACTAAAAATAAAGACAAGATGATAGTTTATTAAATTCTAATGAAATTAGCAGATTGTCTCGGTGGAGTTTAATAAACTC